AAGGCCAGTGGCCTTGAGCTGCAGTCCACAAGGCCATGCCACTGGTCAGCAAACCAGATACTGTGGAAAAGGGGCTGTGGCCTTGGGTGCCCAGGCCTAGAGCAGGCCAGGGAGAGATGGCCCATGGGTCTTGTCATGGCTACCCCTGGGGCTATGGTCCCTCAACGATTAGGGACTGCAGCCCTGAGGGCCGGTGCTGGCCATATCTCTCACCTCTGCTTCCCGGGTGGAACCTGGAATGGCCTGTGCACTGCCCACCTCTTGGAAGGGCACAAACAGGAATGTAGGGACCTGGCCTCAGCGGGATCTCCCTGGCACACATAGCATGTGGGCAGGTGCTGCAGGCCTCTACGTCCCATCACCTGATGGGAGCCCTTCCAGGAGCCCTGATGTCAGAGCGACAGGGCACATCCTCTTCCCAACTGGCTCCCCGAGGCCGTCTCTCTGGGACCCTTCCCACTGGCTCTTCCTGCTGCGTGAGCGTGGCTGTCCTCACACTCTCCTGGGGAGACAGATGGTCTGAGGCGCCTGTGGTCCAGGAGCCTAGGAAAGCCTGCTTTAAATGATGAACTCTCCAGCAGATCCTCGGCGAGTTGGCTCCCTGAGGAGAACGTGCCTGGAAGCCTCTGTCGGGGCTGCCGTGCACACCACCAGCTGCTCCCTTCTGGCTGCCCGGCCCACAGGCTGGAAGCTGGGAACCCCGCCGCACACTCCCCTAGCCTGCATGTCCCCATGCCGTCTCTCCTGCCTGTCTGCCTGGCAGGGCTGGGGTCAGGCTGTGGGCTCTGGCAGTGAATGCTCTAGAACAACACAACCATTTGTGTGACCTTTGTGTAGACACACTGACTCCTCTGTCCACCCCTGCCTGCCTTGGAGCAGTGCTGGCAGCCAGGAGGGACCTTTTAGTCTTGGGGGCAGAAGGGTCTCAGAGCCCCAGGGTGGGAGAAGTGGCCCTGCCTGAGGACAAGACCCCCCAGGAGGGGAGGGTTTGTGTGGACAGTGACCTTGACTGTCCATGGGGTGGGACTTGGGGTCAGTCTCTCTGCAAGGAGCCCTCTCTCGCTCTGCCCAGCTCAAGCCCACTGTCCCTGGCTCTCTGTGCAAAGGTGTGGCCTTCAGGGAAGCCTGCTAAGGACCGCTCGAGGGCCAGGCCATGACACCCAGACCAGGTGTGTTTTCTCATGGGTGTGTGTCCAGCTGTGAGCACCGCATGTGGGGCCTTGTGCCCTGGGTATCCCAGAGGGTGAGTGTGCACGTGTGTGCAGCTAGGGTGCCTGTGTGTCTGCACATGTGTGGCTGTGGCTGCAGGTGGAGGCCGTGGGTCTGCCCTGCCCAGGTACAAGGCCAGGTCCCCTGGCCTGGCGAATGCTGCCACCTGGTGGCCAGGCAGGGACTGTTCACACCGTGGGTCTGCCGGCTGCAGGGTGGTCTTAGGGTCACTGGGGAGGAGCGTGTGTGGGCAGAAGGGAGAGTGAACTTATCCCAGTGCCTGAGCGGGGGATGGCTTGGAGCAGCGGTCCTCAAATGCCAGCTCCTGACGGCGTTTGGAAGCTCAGAGTGCCCGCCTACCCCGAGCACCTGACCAGACCAGGTCTGGGGCAGGGCCTGGAACTCCCATCCCATTACCAGTGATGCAGGCGTGGCTGGCCTGGGGCAGAGCCAGATGGGGTGCACCCAGGACTGCAGACCCTGCAGGTCTCCATCTTAAAAGCCCACTAGACGCTTCCTCAAACATTGCTCAGATGCATCACTTCTCTGATCCACCCCAACCCCAAACCCTAACACACAGTTCCAGGCCCTGCCATCCCCTTTCCTGTTCCTGCTCTTAGCTATCCCCACCCCTGTCTGAGGCCTTCCTATGGAGCCCCCCAAGATTCTGCACTGGAGATCAAAGGTCCCTAATCATGGCCCCAGACTCAAGCCCTCTACTCCATGCTCCAGAACAGACTCTGTTTGGAAGACCCCTGGGCAGGTGCCCGTCTGGCTCGGCTCCCAGTGCCAGCCTACAGCAGCTATGTGGACATGAGTGAACAGGCAGCTTGGTTGGGGCTGGTCACCCTGCAGGTGTGTGGACATGAGTGAATGGGTGGCCTGATCGGGGCTGGTCACCCTTGTGGAGTTCACTGCCTGCCAACCCACAGGCCAGGCTGAGATGACAGTGGCCTGTGATTTGTGCCAGGAGTGAAGGGGCGGCCCATGGCCAGCAGGGAGCGGCTGAGACGGGGGGAGAGGAGGCCTGCATGGGACCTGGGCAGGGCACTCCTGGCAGAAGGGACTGCCTGGGCAAGAGCCTGGTGGGTGAGCAGGTGTGGGGTGTTGTAGTGGATTGAATTATGTACCCCCCAAACTCACCGAAGCTTGAATCGTGTCCCCCAAGTTTTATGTATTAGAAAATTAGCCCTCACCGTGACTTTTAAGGGTGGGAAATCCTATTATAGTAATTGAAAGGTGGGACCTTGAAGAGGCGATTGGATTGTAGGACCGTGTAGTAGTGAATGGATTAAAAATGGTGGTCAGGGGCAAGGTTCTGAGGGCTTTAAAAGAAGAGAAGAAAGTCTCTCTCTTTCTCTGCTCTCTCTGCTTCCACCATCTTGCAATGTGAGACCCCTGGGTCACTGTTGCCACCACCAGATGGACTTTGGATTCCCCAGCCTCAAAAATTGTAAGCAATAAATTTCATTTTGTTTATAAATCACCCACTTCCAGGTATTTTGTCATAAGCAACAGGAACAGACTAATACAGGTGTGGAAATGGTGGGTGGGGGGTGCCAGGTGCACTGCAATCCCAGGAAGAGGGCTCTGCGGGCTTGCATAGAAATGGGGACCCCAGTTATGGTCTCATGTTTAGGACCTCTCATCCCTGGAAAAGGGGAGGAAACTAAGGCTGGCGAGGCTCCCCTCCCCCAGCCCTGGGCAGCCCCTGCATCTGCCCAGGATGAGGCAGCCACTCAGGGGTCTGCTCTGACTTGCCCACTGTGGAGAGGGCCCTTTGTCCCCGGACACTGGAGTCTTTGAGGGGTCTGAGTCTTTGAGGGGAGAGTCTCCTGGCTCCACCCCTCACACTGCCTGGGCCCCCGTCCCAATGGTCCCCTGGATTGAGCCATGCTAATTATTTACTGACAGTTCACCTTTTCCTGCTCTGTTCCCCAAGGCCCACCACCCAGAGCTGGGAAGCTTCAGAAGGGAGCAGGGGCTGAGACTGAGGTTTCTGCTGTGTGAACCAGCCTGGAGCGGCCGGTGGGACGTGGGTGTCTCAGCAGGGCCAGGTGGGCAGGGTGGGGGACTGAGCCAGTAGGTGGACTGCCCAGTACTGCTCCCTGGGGAGGGGCCCAGAAGCAAGTCCCTGCTTATGCTAGCGTCCACATGCAGCCCTTTCCAGACTCTTCTCTGCCCAGGCCTCGGCTTCCCCACCTGCAAGTGGGGGATGTACCAGAGCTTGGTTTCACAGGAGCATGTTAAAAACTCTCGTCCAACTCCATCATTGCATCCAATAGGTGTCTGGTAAGTGGGGGTGTCGGCTGCCCTTGCTGGAACTCACTGTGAGACACCCCCCGCCAGCGGGCATCTCGGCGTCTGAAAGTCCCCCCTGCGGGCAGAACTTGGAGGCCCAGCATTGGCCCCTTCACAGGTGCCCTCCCGAGTGTGAGTTTTCCCAGCGGTGGAGGTCACAGGTGGGAGGGTGGCAACGGGGAGGGAAGCTCAGCAGCTGCCTGGGGGGAGGGGGCTGAGAGGCCACAGTGAGCAGTAGCAAGTGCTTCTGCAGAATGTTCTGGATGACAGTGGTTTCACAAGAGGGTACAGTGACTCTGCACAAGAGCAGTGCTCTGAGGTGTGGCCATTCAGGCCCTGCAGGGTGGGGGGCAGGTGTCCGGTGAGGCGGTCTGGGACAGCTGTGTCCAGGGCACCTTCGTAGGGAGGAGGCTGGCACAAGTGGCAGAGTTTGAGCGCCAAGAGCAGGAACCCTCCCCCATAGTCCGCCCTCCCTCTCCCCTCCCCTGTCCTCTCCACCTCCTTCCCTCCCTTCCTTTGCCTCTCCATGGATATAGGCAAGCACCCCACCACTCCCTGGATCGCCAGAGCTGCTCCTGAAGGGGTCCAAATGCAGGTCTGGAGGAGTCTCCCCTCTTTTGCTGCATTCTCCCTCGTCCTCCTGGGGAGTTGGGTTGGGGGCTGCCAGCATGGACAGCCAGGAAGCTGGCTGCTTTCTTGGAAACCTCCCCCATCTTCCCCCCCGAGGGGGATTTTCTCAGGACCGCACCACGGCCGTGCACTGGCGCTGCAGGTGACCCTGGCATGGCACTGGGCACACAGTGGCCCAGAAGTGACGGCCCAACCGGACGCTGATGAGCCAAGCCCAGGCTCTGGCAGGAGCCAGCAAGAGGCTGGCAGGAGCACAGATGCCACACAGCCATGAGGTTTTCTGCGAAAATAGTGGGAATATATTTGGAAAGATGAGTTAGCTATGACTTTTACAGTACAGCCTCAGGGTCCCTGCGATACACTGTGCACACAGCAGAGGCATTCTGAATGGCCCACAGCGCCTTCTAGACAGGCGATTTGGGCTCGATTTGGTCTCTTTGGAAACAGCAAAATAAAAACTTTAAACATACACATTGCACCCAAGGTAAAAACTATAAAACGGAACAAAATGAACTATGACTCTTGGAATACCTATGGAGAGAACAAAGCCTCGCCCACCCTCCTGTCTCTCTGCGAGATGTGAGTCTGCAAACTTGAGCACCGGCCCCGGCCCGGAGTGTCCCTGTCTGGACCTCAGGCTGGAGCTGGCAGGGGAGGCTGGTGAGAGGCTCCCCTCGATGCTGGATCCTGTGACCTTGATGCAGCAAGCCTGACGCTGTCTCCTCACCCAATGCCCCCGTTAAAAAAAAAAAAAATCAAGGAAGCTTGCATTCACATTACAACATGGAGATAGCACCAGAAACTTCAGAGTAAAATTGCTGATACTTGGAGCTGGGAGGAAGGCCCCGGGCTGGTGATCGTAGAGGCTGGGGGGGTGGGGGTGGGGTTCTGGGGAGGGAGAGCGGGTGAGGGCCAGCAGATGAGCAGTTTTCTCCACGTTCCATATGGGAACCTGGTCCCGGGGGGTCAAGGTGTGCTAGAGATGGGCATGTCCACGGGCAGCGCGAACAGCGTGGGCACGACCCTGTGGTCAGAGGGAGAAGGCCTATTGTGCTCTTGGGACCAGGCGGCTCAGAAATGGCTCTTCTGAGTGGAGAGCCCTGCCCTACCCCCGTGATTTCTAAGGTCACTTTGGAATTCCAGCAACAGCAGCAACAAGACTGAGGAGGGAAACTGTCACCGTCTGATCGGCTGCCTCGACTTACTTCCCTGCTAGATGGGAGGGGGGTCTGTGCAAATCTTCAATTGTTGGGCTCTGCAGTGTATGGCACCATGCCAACAGGGCACACGGGGCTGGGGCAGGGGTGAGCTGTTCTCTCTTCAAGTACTTGGTACCGAGAAAACAGCTGTGTGGTCTCAGAGGGGCTGCAGCTGGCCTGACCCTCATGTGCAGTTTTCCATCAAGAAAGAGAGTACTGTCCACCCCAGGCCCTGCTCAGAGTGCCACAGTCTCGGCTCTGACACCAAAGTCTGAGCACGTGCATGATAAGTCAGGGCAACCAAAGCAGGTGGATGGCCACACAGTGAGCCATCTCAGAGAACGGGAGCCCCCACTGGCTGGGATTGAACTGGCTCCGCTCACAGGCACTTGCTTGTATAAATTACTCAGCAGCGTCTTTCTTCAAAGGGATCTTGAAGCTAGTTAGTCTCTGCCCGAAGAGCTGGCTGAGGACGTCACTCTGGGACTCGGCGGTCCGGTAGTCGCGGGGGTCGGCAGGCTCAGCACCACGGACAGCGCTGCCCCTCTTAGGGGGCCTGAGCAGGGGTCTCGCCAAAGGGAAGGCCTTGCCCAGCCCCTCCTTCCTGTGTGTGTGGCTGGGCTCCCCCTTCCGCTGCTCTGAGAGCTGCAGCCTGGTCTTGCTGCTGTAACTGCTGGGTCTGGGCTTGGCAGGTAGCAGGCGGCTGGGGGTTGCCTGCTTCCGAGGGGTCCGGGTGGGTTTCTCAGGGGCCAAGGGGGCATTCCCCAAGCTCCCCACACCCTCACTCCTGGCTGGGCCCAAGGCCTGGCCCCTTCTCCTCTTCTCACTGGTCTGTCCCTTTTCCCTGGGACCTGGGCTCCCTTGGAACTCCTTGGTGCAGGCCCTGGCCTGGGCTCGAGGTGGGGGCTTGTCTGCTGCAGGGCTCCGTCTGGGGCAGCTGGGCTTGGCCAGGGTGGTGGCCATTTCACTCTGCAGCTGTCCGCTGGCTGGCTGGGGCTGGCTGCCTCCACCCATCTTGACACTGGTGCGTGAGCCCCCACTACCTTGGGAGCTAGGGCCTGGTGTGGCTTTGGGGGTGTTGGGCTTCATCCTGTCCTCAGTGCCATGGGGTGGCTCTCTGGGTGCCGGGCTCCCCACAGACTTCCTCGGGTGCACTGGGAACTTGGGCACTTTGCTGGGGGTGGATTCAGCTGACCTGTCTTTCCATGAACTCCGGCAGCCCCCAGGCTTGGTGGCATGGCCCTTGTGGGAGGGGCCCCCTGTGCCTCCCTCAGGCAGCACGTGACATGTGGACACGAGCAGGGAGGAGCCTTCTGGGGAATGGTCAGGTGCACATTTGCCACGGGCGCTTGGGGTCCTGTGTTTCCCTGAGAACAGGTGAGGAGCCCTCTTTCCCTCTGCATCTTGGCCCCTTGTGCCTGACTGGGCCAGGGATGCCCGCGAAGGGAGAGCTTGTTGGAGAAGAGGCTCAGGGCTGCCTGGGGAGGCTGTGACTTCAGGCCTCTCCAAGGCTCCATCTGGCTGGTGGCCGCCTTTGCCATCAGCCGAAGCAGCTGGGAAAGAAGACAGAGACAGTGGAGGGAGCTCCTGGTGGTCAGCCGGCGGATCGGCCTCCCTGGCTGGGTGGTCCACGGGCTCCATGAGCCTCTCCTGGGTCTCGGGCCATCCCTGGGAGGTGCTGGTAGCCACCTCCAGGCAGAGCTGGAGCAGGGCTGGGAGGGACCCCTGGCCCAGGGCGGGGCTGCTGGGCACGGCCACCCTGCGCCGTTTGTGGGGCAGTGCGCCCTCGAGGGCCGGGGCCTTCTGCCGGGGGGCTCCGGGCCTGCGCACGCCACGGAAGGGGAAGGGCTGCTGCCCCCTCCTCAGGTGTTTGTCCATGTGCCGGTCGAACTGCTCCTTCTTGGCGAAGGTGTAGTTGCAGGTGCTGCATATGAAGGACCTCCTGATGACACACATGACGTTGGCGCAGAGCTCACAGGTGTACAGCGGGGTGTACGGCAGCTCCCGCTCCTCCTGCACCCCGTGCACTCCGCCCAGGTGTGCGCGCAGCTCGTGGGGCTCCGGGTAGACCCCGGGGCAGTGGGGGCACAGGTAGACGCGCTGCGGGCTGTGCACCGCCAGGTGGCGCTGCAGCTTGAAGGGCTTGGGGAACTGCTTCCCGCAATGGTGGCAGTCGCGGGAGGGGTCCTTGCAGTCCTCATGCACCGGAATGGCTTGGAGGAGGGGCTCGCTGCTGCACCAGCGGTCTGGGGACAGGCTGGGGGATGTCTTGGTGGAGCCCGGGAGGGTGGCAGAGCCACTGGTTGGAGTGGGGTTCTCGCAGGGGGACAGGCTGCCGCAGTCGGCCAGGATGCTGTCTGGCGTCCAGGCGCCATCCTGGTTTGAGGACTCGGCCCACGCCCTGGGCCTGGCTCTCTCCCTGGCAGTCTCTCTCCCAGCACCCCTCTCTTGCTTCCGTGTCTCTTCAAGGCTCCTTCCGGCCCTGCCTCTTGAGTGCTTGACCCTGTGGGGTTTGGAGGCTTGCTCCACTATGCTGTTGAGGAAGCGCGTGACAGCGCTGTCCCCCTCCAAGCCCCCGGGCAGGTCCCCCGGCCTGGCTCTCTCCCTGGCAGTCTCTCTCCCAGCACCCCTCTCTTGCTTCCGTGTCTCTTCGGGGCTCCCTCCGGCCCTGCCTCTTGAGTGCTTGACCCTGTGGGGTTTGGAGGCTTGCTCCACTATGCTGTTGAGGAAGCGCGTGACGGCGCTGTCCCCCTCCAAGCCCCCGGGCAGGTCCCCTAGGGATCTCCGCGCCTGCCCCTTGCGGGCAAACTGGACAGCATGCTCTCGCAGGTGCTCATTGTACATCCAGATGTCAGCAACCTCCTTCAGGCACATGCCGCAGGCCCATGGCCCTGCCTTGCCTGGCAGGTGTTTCTCCTGCAGGTGCTCCCGGAGCAGCTCACGCGAGCCGAACCTGCGCTCCACGCACAGGTGGCAGGTGGGCGGTGGCGAGGCGCTGTGGGCCAGCTTGTGCAGGTCCAGCTCGCCCAGGCCGTGGAAGCGCTGGAAACATACCTTGCACTTATAGGGGGCCTGCCTGCCTTTAGCAGGCCGGTCTCTGCCCTGGGCCCTTCTTTCCCTGGCCGCCTCTTCTGTCCTTTTGTTTCGTGGCTCCTGTGCATTCATTGTGGCCTTGAAGTCTGAGAAGCTCTTGCTGGAGAGATCCACGAGGTCGTCACAGCGTCCCAGAAAGCACAGGTCTTGCACCTCAAACTTGGTGCTGAGCAGCTCAAAGTCCACAGCATGAAGCGGCAGCAGACCAGCATTCCCAGAGAGCCCACCATCATATCGTTCTCTCTCCAGGTTGGGGGGCTCTGGGCTCATGTCTCCAAGAGAAGAGGATGTCTCATCAGCAGGGGCCCGCAGCTCCAGACCTCGCCAAGCCGCCGGGACCATGTGCAGTTCAGGGATGGTCTCTGACCGATCGTCCTCGGAGCAGCAGGAGACTGCCTCCTCGGCTCCGTCGGCTTCCCTGTTGGGCTCCAGGGTCCACAGGCACAGGCTGGGGGCCCAGGGGTCAATGCCTGGCACCTTGCTGTTGAGAAACCCATCCAGGAGGAAGGACTCCGGCAGTCCCGTGGCCTCGTCGTCCCACAGGTCCTCGTGGGAGAGGCAGAGGGAGCCAGAGTCACTGAGGTCTGTGGGCAGGCGGGTGGGGCACAGTGGGGGGCCACCCCCAACCCCACTGCTTGGCTGGGGGGGCGGTCGCTTTGGCTCTTGACAGCGCTTCCCGTAGACGCGGAGGTTCTTCTTCTGAGTCAGGCGGCCGCTCAGAGGGAAGAGCTGGGAAAAGGAGGTCTCATCATCAAACAAGCCCAGAGGGTCCCTGGAACCCGGGCTGGGGGATTCAGGAGCAGTGCCCTCAGGCCCCTGGAGGCAGCTGCCTGCTTCAGAACTGGGAGTTTCAGGAGGATCCGGGGGGTCTGAGCGGGGCCCGTGCCCCTCCCAAATGCCTTCCCCTGACCCACTCTCAGCTCCTCTGCTGTCCTCTGTGGGCTTGCTCCCGGCTGCCTGCGATGGCTCTTTGCAAATGCCCGATGCCCTGTCCCCAGGAGATGCTCCCTCCATCCTCCCTGGACGCATCATCCAGCCTCTGGGCGATATCTCTATGGCATCCTCCACTACCCGGGGCCCTGGCATGGCTGAGCCAGGGGGCTGCCCCACATTGGCCTCACGCTCCCCCGCTGCTGGGAGGCAGCAGCTCAGACGGGCCGTGTAATTGGCAATTGCAGTTGATGGATTTGAGCAGCGCCTGTCTGAAATCACATCAGGAGAGGCCTGGGGAGTGCTCTGTTCCCGGAACCTTCTCACTCTCAGCTTTGCCACTTTCTTGTTTGATTTCCTGTTGCGGGGGGAGGTCGTGGGCACTCTGCTCTGCCTCTGATCTTCTCTGTTCTCTGCCTGTTTGGGATGGAGAGTATCCTCTTCTGCCTGGTCTGGTCTCTTGGGCTCTAAGCCTGTGGGCTTCACACACACCCCTTGCTGCATCAGGCCTGGGGGATGTGGTTGCTGGTTGGGTGGAGAGTCTGGGGTCCCGATAATGCCAAGCGCCTGCTGACCCTCCTTTGAAGGCTCAGGACCCAGGGTGTCTCCAGGAGCTGCAGAGCCCTGGATGGGAGGAGGCCCAGTGGCACGGCTGGGGCCTGCTAGCCTAGGTCTCTCCTTCCCAGGCCCCTTGTGGCTTTTCTTCCCCGGGGTCTGGCACGTTTGGACTGTGGGTTCTCGGGGCTGGACTGGTGGGCTCGGCTTGGAGGTGGCCCCTCTGTGAGGCTGATGTTTTCTGGCTTTGTGCCGGCTGAGTCCTGGCCCAGAGCGGAAGGAGGCTGCACAGACCTCACAGGTCACAGGAGGCCCGCCAAGGGCACGACCCTTCCAGTGGCCATTCTCCATGGACACAGGCTTCTTTTTAAAGCCACGGGGCCTTTGTTTGGGATCTTGGGGACTGATGGGGCCCCCCTTGGGTGTCTGTTGGGGGACATTTTTGTGGCTTTGGGGGGAGTTGCACCTGAAGTCTCTTGCTGTGCTGCTTGGAGAGGTGGCTCTGCTCAAGTGGAGTCCTGCAGAAGGGCAGGGGCCTATTGAGCCTGTGGAACCACCTCTGGGCACCTTTGTGATACCAGAGTGCCCGGCCTCAGGTGTCCCTGGGTCCTCCAGTCCTTTGTGGCCAGCCTCTGCCTCACTTTCCAGGCAGGCATGGGACTCTGGCCCTGCTGTCCCCAGCGTGGTAGGGTCAGTGGGCACTGCTGTGACCTCCTGGCCTTCCCTGTGGCCAAGGTTGGCAGTTTTGCTTGGGGGGTCTGAAGAGGGGCCCTTGGGCATCCTGCCTGGGCTGGAGTGGGGTGGGGCTCCCCTGCAGGGGGTGTCTGGTACCTGAGACCCTCTGACCGCCTCTGTCTCATCTTTGGCAGGAATGCTGGATGGGCCAGCAGTCTTGACGTCCACTTGTGGGGAGACGGCCCCCACTGAAGGAGGAGGGGCAGCACAGGCAGGAGACCCCCTCGGTCTCTGTTTTCTGGAATCTTCTGTAGTTCTTAACGTGTTCTCTTTAGGGCCATCCCCCCAACAGATGGAGGTTAAGACATTGACGAAGCGAGGCTGGCATGCAGGAGGATCTTCCAGCAGGCTGCTGTCCCCCAGGAGAGGGTGGCAAGCCAGGACAGCCACCGGAGGCCCCCAAACCACAGCATCTGGGCGGGCTTGGACACAGTTGGCCTCTTCCAGAGGTTCCCAGGCAGGGGAGCAGGCTGGCAGATGCTGGGGGCTGGAGGCATCCCTGCAGGATGGAGAAGCTGGCAGTTGCCCCCTCCGCTCACCTTTGGCATCCCTGGCACCAGAAGGTGGGATGGGAGGGTCTTCCTGGGGCAGGTGCTCGAGGCTGCAGACAGTGGGGGTGGCTGAAGAGGAGGGTAAGGGGGCACAGGCAGCCAGGTCCCCAGCAAGCAGCAGCTGTGTGTTATGGCCTGCGCTGGACGCCTTCTGTGGACTCTGGTCCTTGGGCCCATTTTGGGAGGAGGCTGCTGTCAAGGCTGGCTCTGAGGATTCTCCATCAGGGGAGGTGGGGTTTGGGGTGTGCCGTGCCTCATTCTGAAGGCCCTGGGCCTCCCTGCCTTCCCCCAGTTCATGCTCACCCTCAGCGGGCCTGGCCCCTGCAGTCTCAGGATCAGCGCTGACCGAGGTGAAGTTGTCTTGCCCCCCCGGGCTCCCCCAGGTATCTGGCCGGAACCCACTGGCTTTGCTGTAATCCTTGGGCTTCTCGGTTTGGCCAGGCGAGCCCATGTGTCCATCTGTTTCAGGCCCCAACTGACGTCCGGCCACTGCAGGGACAGCTGTCACCTGTGTACCTCCCTGGGAGCCCCGGCCAGGGCTGCCAGCCACCTTCCCACCATTTACACTCTCCCTTTCTGGGTCTGAAGAGTAGTCTCCTTGCTGCAGGCCTTGGGTGTTGGCAGGTGGTGGCCCCTGCAAGCCTTGGGTGTCTTCTTTGCTCTCAGTTGCTCTGGCCCCCAGGAGCTGGGGTTGATCTGAGGGGCTCGAGGCTGGGTCCTGGGACCTCCTGCCAGGGCCAGCGTCGGGTACGCAGGCAGGACTCAGCATGGGGACAAACCTTGCCTCCCCACCCTGGAGGGGAGTCAGTGGGGAGGCTCCTCCTGGCAAAAACCCTTTACACTCAAAGCCAGGCCCCTCTACCATGTGGTGGGGGAGCCTAGCTCCCCTGGGCCCACCTGCTCTACCTACAGAGCGTCCCTGGACAGCACCACTGTTGCTGAAACCAGGAGGTGGTGTGGCAGCCGGAGGCAGAGGCACATCACCCTGAAGCACCAAGACAGGTGCCAGGGGGCCCACGGGGCTGCCGAAGGCTTCCAGTGCAGGGGAGTCTTGGCAGCGCCCATCTGCCTTGCGGGGTTCTGGGGAAAGCCCTCCTCTCTGTTCACAGGGCGGTGGCCACAGCGGGCTGTCCTGGCTTCCTTGTGCTCTGGCAGTCTCTTTACTTCTAGGAAGTAGAAGCTCACAGTTTGGGCTGCACTTTGCTGGACTCCCAGCGTCCCGCAGGGGCTCTGGTGGCTTCCCAGGGTCAGGGAAACAGACACCTAGGGGGACCCCAGAGTCTCTTCCTGCCTTGGAGACTCTGAGGCTGGTCCCCAAGTGGCTGAAAGGAGCCCCAGAAGCCAGGTCTTCGTGGGTGCTGGGGGGCAGGGCTGCTTCTCCTGGGTGGAGTGAGGCCGGGCAGGGCCACTCTCCAGGGGGGCTCCCCAGAGTCCCTTCCGTGGCGGCCACAGCTGCTCCTGCACCTTCCTGATGTGGACTTGATTCCCCCAGACCCGTAAGGTCGACTGCTGAGAACGCATGCTCGTGGGGAGGGGAGGCCTGGGGGGCGGGCAGCGGGGAGGACGGCTCTGTGCCCATGTGTGCCCTGCCCACGCTCTCAGTCCCTCCAGGCTCTCGTGGGGCCCCATGGCTGCTATGGCTGCTTTGCAGTTGACTTTCTAATTCAGTGACCAACCTTTTGATCTCTAATTCATCCTCGCACAGATTGCTCACAAAAGGGACGTTACATTCACTTCCCTTTCCAGGCCCAGGGGGAGGGCTGGGGACTGCTGTCCCTTCGTGGGGACCCTTCTCATGGAATGCCTTTCCCCCTGCGAGGTCAGGAAAGTGGCTGGGCAGCATGGAGGATGCTTCCTCCAGCAGCAGAAACGAGGGGTATGGTGGCTCTGATGGGGGTTTCTTCGGGGGAAGGTTGGCACATGCCAAGGGCATATGGGTGTCCCTGTTAGCAGACAGGCTGTCGTAGAGAGGTGGCTCGAATCCGTCCGCGGGCAGCCCTGAAAAGAGGGACGTGGACTCCAAGGTCAGTGGTGATTCGGCTTTACCTGGGTCTGCTTCAGCTGTGTAAGGTGGATTCTTAGGTGGTTTTGGCTCAAGGGAGTTGGCATCCACACCATCCTGGCAAAGGTAGGAGCTGCTGGCTGGCAGTGTGTCCACGGCTGAGGATTTGGAGTGCACGTCCTCAGGGAAACAGCCAGCCAGGACTTTGGGTCCAAGGAACAATTCGCTGGGGGAGCTGCTGTAGGACTGGGACCCTTTTTTGTCAAGAGGAACCTGCACAGAGTCTCCACTAAAACATGCAGGGTCACAGCTGAGATCAGAGTTCTGCAGAAACAGGAGGCTGGGTTCGGGGTAGGCAGCATTGATGCTGTGAGCAGCGGACGCCAGTTCTCCTGGCTGGGAGGCAGGGAGGTCCTCTCTGTCGCAGGACACCGGGAGCACTGTGGGTCTGCCAGAGTCCTCTGTGCCAGGTCGTGGCTGCTCTGAAGTTGGGAGCATGGGCCTTTCTCTCACACTCAGGGCTGGAGAAGGACTCAAACCCTGTCTGAGTTTTGTGGCGTTGGGGGGTGACTCTTCAGCAATTTCAGGCTTCTTGGCCTCTTGGGGGACGTCCAGCGACGGGTGGTTTTCCTCAGGGGTCTTGGTGTTGGTGGGAGCCTCTGGGGGATGCTGGGATGCCTCTGTGGGGTGATCGGCAGGTGTGGGGACTCTTTCCATGGGGGTCACTCTAGCCTCTTGTCTTCGCGAAGGACTGTGGGTCTCCGGACTCTTGCTGGGGTCTGGGCCAGGCCTGTGTGGCTCCCTGGTTTGCTGCCTCACTACTGTCCTGGGTTTCTGCTGTCCCTCATCCACTCGGGGACCCCGGGTCAAGTCTGCTTCCTTCCTCTTCTCGCTGCGGCACCACCGCCGGCACCCATGGCGGGGCCGGCCTCTGAAGCCAGGGCCCCGCTGCCGCGGACGCTCGTCCTCCTCGGACTCAGAGGCGTAGTCGTACTCCTGGAATCTGGTGTCCTTGGCACTGGGCAGGGGCCTCTCGGCCGCCAGGGAGCCATGTGGGCCGAGGCCAGGCTGCACCTGCCGTTTGTACAGCTGGTTCTTCTGCTGCACGATTTTGTGGATGAGCTCTTTGCTCCAGGTGCCGCCCTGAGCCCTCCTCTTCCTGCCGTCCTTCCTGGGGGGCAGTCGGGGGCGCCTGGAGCTCCTGGTCTCCTTAGCGAGGTGGGTGGCTCTCAGGGTCCGGTTCTCAGGGTCCGCTTGGCTCTTGGGAGCCTGAGCTCTGAGGTCCCGGGGACGGGGCGGGGGCCGCTGTGCCCGGGTGCCCTTCCTCCGTGGCCTCAGGCAGGCAGCTCTGGTGCCCCCGCTGGGCCCCTTGGCAGGACCGGCTGTGTCCAGCTCTTTCTGGAACAATTTAAACTGCTTCCCACGCCTCTGCCGCCTGACCAGGCTAGTTGCATCTGCCTCTGCTGGTGCCAGACCCAGGGAGCGGGTTTTGGGTCTGCTTCGGGCTGGGTAGCCCCTGTCCCCAGGGCAGGGGGCTTGGGGCTTTGGTGTGGCAGCCACGGCTGGGAGTGGGAGCTGGGCTTTGTCTTCTGGAGTCGCCCCCACCCTGGTCTTGAGGGGCTGCCCAGCGCTGGGGCCTCTGGGGCCGGAGGGCTCCTCATCGGCGAAGACGTCAATGAAGCTGCTGTCGATCTCCGGGTTGTCTGACTGGTACTCCATGCCGTTGAGCGCCTCGGTGATGAGGCTGTCCAGCTTGGCGTCGTCCTCCATGTCCAGGTCTGAGGCAGGGAGCGGGAAGGGGGTGGCAGCCAGGCCGGGCAGGAAACTTGTCCTCAGGGGGTCATCTTTGACCTCTGCCTGGACTTCTCCGGCTAACAGGAAGGGGACAGGCTTGGTGTGGTTGAGCATGCCTGGGTGCACGTCAGTGGGTGCCATGGGGGTGGCGGTGGGTGCAGGGAGCCCTGGGGGGTTGGGGGGCTGTGGGTGGCCATCCTTGGCCCTGGCCAGGAGCAGGCTGCAGAACTGCCGGTGTGCCAGGAAGGCCGCCAGGCTGCTGTAGGTGCGGTCGCACTGCTTGCAGGTGAGCAGCACGTCCAGCTGGTCCAGGCTGGCGCTGCTGAGGGAGAAGTGGTGGCCCGAGTATGGGGGAGGCTCCTGGGGGAAGCCCGACAGCCGCCCCTTGCCCGCCTCAGGGCCCTCTCCGGGGAACGGGGCCTCCTCCAGGCACTTGAAGGCACCCTTGGCCGTCAGCCTGTCTGCAGGGAAAGGGAAGGCCTTGGCCGGCTCTGGCTGGTAGTGGGTGGGGAGGGCGTGTGGGGGCTCGGGGGATGGGAAAGGGCTGCTGGTCTCCTGGGGATGAGTCGGGGGGTGGAAGAAGGCTGAAGGCCCGAGTGGGCCGGGGAGCTGGCTCTCCTCGGAGCTGGGGTTGGCTGGGCTGCTGGACAGCGGCGAGAGGGATGAGCAGGTGCTGCTGCCTGCGGTGTTGGTGGCGGGTGACGGCAGTGGAGACTCGCTGGGGGATGCTCCCATTGCCCTGGGTGGGGGCAGGCTGGGGGTCCCGTGGGGCGAAACCTGGGGCTGGGCCACCCCAAAGAACAGGGGCTGGGCTCCAGGGTCTTTCAGCCCATTGTAGGAGAACAGACCAGGAGAGCTGCCTGGCTGGCCGGGGCTGCTTCTCACGACCACCAGGTTCTCCCCAGGCGTGAGTGTCTTGCCGGCAGCAGCACCTGGGGCTCCCTGGCTGCCTCCAGGCCACTCAGGGACCCCCACGGGGAAAGGCAGCCGGCTCAGCATTTCCACTTGGTGGGGGCTTGGTGTGGTGGGTGGGATCACATGGGGCCAAGGCAGGGGGGGACTTGGCGGGAGGCAGAGCCTTTGGCTGGGGCTGGGCTGGTCACCAAAGAACGTGGCCCTGGCGGCAGCTGCTGGAGGGCCCAGGGGAGGTATGGGGTAAGGGGCTGCTGTGGGGTCCCACAGCAGGGGCAGTCTGGTGGGTGGTGGCCCTGGGTGGGCCAGCTCGGTGTCCAGAGGCCCTGGGCTGGTGCCCACCCCACTGGTTCTGTACACCTGCCCTGCAAAGTGCCTCTGGGGTAGGGAGTTTGGGCTCCCCAGCCCATCAGGGGCTGAAGGTGGTCTTTCGGGAAGGGTGTTGGTCAGGCTCTTGTGCAAACCATCCGGGAAGGGGCTCGGGGCCGGGTGAGCAGCACCAGGTGGAGAGAGGGTACTGGTGAGGTCGCTGGGGGAGTTGAGGCTGCCTGGCTGGCCTGGGTAGCAGTGAGTGGGCCGGGTGGGCAGTGAGTAGGCTGGGCTGGCACCCACGGTGCCCTCCGGCCACGCTCCTGGGGGCTGGTGGAAGGCAAACGCCAGTGCCCTGTTGCCGTACTCCTGTCCAGCTGTGTCTGCAGGAAAGGAATTTGGGCCGGCCCTGGGCAGAGCCGGGAAGGGGTACTGGAAAGAGACCATACCAGGGCTGCTGGGCCTGCTGCCTTCAGGAAAGGGCTCTGATTTAGTGGGGGGGACCCCGAAATTAGCACCTGGGAAGCTGTTCTCAGCAGCGGGAGGCCAGGAGTTGGTCCTGTCGGCCTGGAATTCTGGATAGGAGGCTGGCCTGCAGGGGCTGGCCCCGCTGCTCTGGGGGGCCCTCAGGGGTGGGGGCCCGGGGGTGGCATTTGGTGAGGTATAGTTGGTAGAGGTAAAGCTGGAGGGGGTCTCCTGGAAGCACCTTTGGAAACTGAGCTCTTCAGGGGCAGGAGGGGCCCCGGCCTGTGGGAGGCTGGGCCTGAGGTGAGCTCCAGCCCTGTGGCCCTGGGGGGCTTCTGCCTCTGGGGCCTCGAGGGCCTTGAGCTGCGGGCTCTCAGGGGTCTCGTCTGGGGTGGGCTTGGCCCTTGAGCTGGCAATACTCAGACCGTAGAGCTGCTGGGTGCTGCTGTCGGCCCTGCCTGCCAGCCGCGTGTGACCCTGTGCCTGGCTCCTCCCTGGCGGGGCCCGGGGACTGCCCTCCTTCCCAGGGGGGCTGATCAGGGCCTGGGTTCTCAGGAGTGAGGCCGTAGGCTTCCCCTCCCTGGTCTGCCTTGGCTGGGCTTCAGGGGACTCCACTGCTTGGGCCCCGCTGCCAGCCTCTCTCGTGCCCTTGGTGGCCCTGTTGGCTGGGGCGTGGTCCTCGCGGGGGGGCTGGGAGGGGCGCCCCAGGCCTCTGGCGACTTGGCAGGGCTGCAGGTCTCCCGTCATGGTTGGGGGCGGTGCTCCTCGGGGCTGCTCCCCAGGCATGGCCCCTCCGTCCTGGGTGCTAGGAGGAGGCAGAGGTCCGAGGGGGGCGGCGGGGAGTGGGCCGGGCAGCCATCCTCACCCCTCGGGGGGCCCCAGGGAAGCCTGCTCTCATGGTCCTGAGTGGAGCCTGCAAGGGAAGGGTGGAAGTGAGTAGGGGCATTGGGGGCTGGGATGGCCCCGCCCGGGCAGGAAGCCCACACTGGCTTTGTGGCCCTGGCCATAGGGGCCCCGGCCGGGCCGGAAGCCGGAGCGGCTGGTGTGGCCATCATAGAAACTGCTGCACTTAGGGGAGGGGGATGCTTGGCTCAGACAACGCCTTGGAGAAATGAGAAGGGAGAGGAACTCCTGCCTGACTGTGCCAGGGGTTCTGCAGGGCAGGGGGAGGAGAGAGGAAGGGAGAGAGGTGCTAGCTAGGCTCTCAGGGTCTGGGAAGACTGCCCTGGCAGAGCTGCCCTGCTAGGAGAGGAGAGGTCCCAGGGGTGGTGGGCAAACTCCAGCCCTGCAGCTAGCACATGGGACAGGATCAGGGAGGGGCAGAGGTGGACGCACACACCTGCTGGGGGAGGGCCCTGCATCAGAAGCTGAGCTTCTGGGCGTAAGGGAAGACATCCAGTGCACACTGAGTCCAGCCTGAGGTTCACACTCGAGTTTTCTCCCTGACACCTCCCCTGTCTCTTGCAACTCAGCCGCCAGATGGGGCCTCCCTGCCTCTGGCATTGCACAGGAGGGGCTAAAGCCCCTTGCTCTGGGGAGCCCCCAGGCTCCAGAAGGTGCCAGCTCCTCACTTGGGCCTCTGGGCTGGGCTCCTATTCTGGCCTGTCCCGTGACCCAGGCCTCTGGGGAAAAGCACCTGTCCGTGAACACTGGTGGCATGGCCTTTCCTGTCTGTGCAGCCCACTGCCCTCCCCCAGCAGCTTTGTTCTCATCCAGATGCTGGAGAGGGGTCTCGGTCACAGTGACTCCTTTCCTAAGAGCAATCTTCGGGCCAGCTGTTATGATTTGCTCACTTTCCTGGTTGTCCCCAGAGGAAGTTCAGAGCACTGAGCCCCAAGCCAAGGTCACACAGCTTGGATGTGGCAGGGGCCACCTGCCTGGGGAGCCTGGCTGAGGTGGGGGCTCCTCCTGGCCTTTGCTGGGCATCTGTCCTGAGGAGAAGCTGGGTGTCTTCTGACACAGGGAAAGAGGCAGGACTCAGCCTTCTGGGGTGTCATCCCTGCCACTGACCCCTGGGTCCTCATGACAGGCCCAAAGAGGCTGAGTGACTTGCCTGCGGTCATGCAGTTAGCAGGCAGAGTAGCCGGAACTGAAAAGATCGGCCTCAAGCTCTTTTAGCGAGACCCTGCTGCCTCCTCAGGTGACGGGACCCTTGAGAGGGTCTGAACCAGCACTAGGTGTTTTTCACACATCCCCAGTGCTCCAAGGACTTCCCACACCATGGCCACCTGGGGGCTTGGAACACAGGGATCCCAGGGCCCTCAAGGCGAGCACTACACCTGCACATCTACCTGGGGCTGCCTGCCTGTGGGGACTTGTCTGTGGGGACCTGCCGCAGAACCACCCCCATGGAGAAGGGTGTTCTGCCTGGTTGGGGGCACGGTCATCCCAGGAGTCTTGGTTGGGGAGGCGCAGTTCCAGCACTCGCCAGCAGAGGGCACCACCCTGCCNGGGCCCCCCCCCCCCCCCCCCCCCCCCTCGCGGCCCAAGGAGATATGAGCTGGGTGGGGTGGGGCCCTTCCTCCTCTGCCGCCACCACCGAGTCCCTCCCCTGTCCCATCAGCCTGGGGGCCCCACTGCCAGGGAAGGAGAGGACTGGGAGTCATTGGGGCAAGAGCTTGTGGGTAAAGTTTGCCGGGTGGATAAAGGATGCTGAGCTTCTGGGCGCTCCTGGCGGCACCTGCCTTGTCCACACAGTGGCTCGGGAGGTCAGAACTATCACTGGCACCCGTAATTTGTGGGTGGGAATTGAGGCACAGAGAGGTGAGTGCCTCCCCAAGGCCTCACAGGGAGGGTGGTGGGACCCCAGGAGGAGGGGCGCCTCCTGGCCCCACAACGCCTGTCTCTTGCCCTGTGCCAGGCGTGGCCATGTCACTCCCACTCCAGACACCCACTCAGGGCCAGGCTACTGGGTGTGGGGGCAGCAACAGCCAGGGCCCCCCACGAAGCCTCCGCCTATCTCGTGGGTGAGACCCACTATCCAAGGCCTTCAGCTGGGAGGCCTCAGAAAGGCTTCCTGGAGGAGGTGATGTTCCACTGTGTCCTGGCTGGTAGAAAGGAGCGTTATTTTGAAAACAAGGAAAGGTGGTGGGACGATCTGAGGAGGGCTCCCAGCTTGGTGACACACTGCCGTGCCCACCACCCACCCCGGCTCAGAGCTATGGTTTAAGGTCTGAAGCCCAACATCGGCCCCTGACAGCCCGGGTCTGGGAGATGGCTCCTGGGGAGGCAGAACCCTCCCAAGCGAGAGATGGAAGGCCGGCTGTGCGGGGTGGAGGGACTCTCGGGACAAGGGCATCTCTGGCCAAGTGGTGGCCTGCCAACTCCATGCTGGCTGCCTCCCTCTACGTACCTGGGGAGTCGGGGCCCTCAGCGGGGTCGCCTCACCACTTCCTGAGCAACGAGGATTTCTTGGCTGCAAAGAAAACAAAAAGTGCTTCAGAAGCGATGTGGTGCTTGGCTCTGGGTGACAGCCCCTGGGGGATCCGGGCAGGAGGGGGTGGCTGTGACACAGCAAGATGGATAAGGCCCCTTCAGGGCACCAGGAAGCCCACCTGGGGCTGAGGGGATGTGGCTGAGCTTGCGGGTGCCAGGAGGCCGCTCAGCCCTGCCTGGGG